TATTTAAATTTAAGAAAAAGAAAACTAATTCAAGCCATGCCCTGTCAGGGGAGGGGAACGGAGGGGCACAAAAATAAGAAGAAAAATTTAAAGTGAGACCTCTATCTGCTGCTCTGGTCTCAACTTAAGTACCACAGTCAGCTTGTCATTTTTATTTTGGAAAAGAAGATATGACGTGTTTTTCAATCACTCAGAAGAAAAGTGTAACCCCTTATAAAAACAGAGTAACAGGAAACATGGAATCCGGACTCTGGCTCCTTGAAGCACGGCAGGTTTGAGGGCTCAGGGCAATTTTGGTGTTCTTTGGGCCCCACGTGGGGGTCGGCAGAGCGGACTTGCCAGATCAACTGGGGGTCTGGCGGAAGGACTTTGCCAGCATTTGGGCGTGCCGGGTTGGTAAGACCCTGAAGGGCGCCCTCGGCCTAGGGTCTTGGGAGATTTAATGTCAGCAGAATCTGGACTCAGTCTTTCATTGTTTTTGTTCAGACATTCCTCTAGGTCGTATAGTCCTGGTGTACAAGCTGCCGTACAGCGGTCACTTGTGGTTGCTGTGAGGCTGAACACTGTGACACTGATGTGTCAAATGTGTTAATGGCTGGTTACCCAATGTGGACAGAGAGTGGGGTGGAGCTCCCCGATTAAAACAAGCTTGGAAGCAGGAGTGGCATCCACTTCCGTAATAGCTTGTCTCTGGAAACCCTATGAACCTGGAGAGAGGATGAGAGACACCCACGCGTTGAGGACTCTCCTTCATAGGGTCGCTATGAGTCGCCTGTAACTCCATGGCACTTAACAATAACAACAACAGGAAACATTTGGTCTATGCTCATTGGTGCTCAAGGCCTCAAACCTGTTCCTGAGATGGTTTTGAAATTCAAGTGGGACAGACTTAAGGTCAAACCTAGGTTCCCGGGGACTTGATTTAATTTTCCTCAACTTCAGCTTGAACTTGTATCTGAGTAGTTGGTGGTCTGTCCCACAATCAAGCACCTGGCCTGGTTTTCACTGCTGACATTGAGCTTTTCTTTTCTTTTTTTTTTATTAAATTTTATTAGTTTTAATGAACATTTACAGAGATTTTGGGTTTTCATTTATTCATTGTTGCACTGTTTTCTCCACCCTCATCCCCAGTTCGTTCTTCTTCCCCCCCCCCAAAATGTCTGTTTTAATTGTCCAATTGCCACAGTGCTTGTCAAAGCCAGTTCTGATTAATCTTCTTTGTCAGTGTGTCCCTTGCCATTCCCTATCTCTCCTTCCTGAGAGAGACTTCACCCTGATTCATAAGGAAAAGGGGATGGTGTATTCTCTTAGCTACTTCCTGCTGAAAAGGGACGCTGTGGGTTTCAGGGTGAAGGTCTTCTCTCACTACTCTAAAGGGCCCCTTTGGCAGTAGGAAACACATAGACTATTATGGAGATTGATTTTGGAATTTAGATGCACTGTTATCAATTGTGCTTAGCCGTACATGTTCATATCCTTGAAGATGTATCATGGAAGTGTTGCAGCCTTTTTCAACAAATGTAATCTATTTGATTCCTATGCATACCATCAGGTGAAATCCATGTGTAAAGCCTGCGTTTATGTTTCTTATAAAAGGTATTTGCAATGAATAAATCACTGAATGTGCAGAACTCTAAAAAAAAAAGATTGGCATTGGGTAGAGTAGATTTTAGGGCTGTTGTACATAAGGTTGCTGAGTCACAGGCAACTGGATGACACATAACAATAAGAACAACAGTTGTTTGTAGTGGGCTTAACGGTAGACTCCAAGAAGCTGTCCACGTCCAACACTCTGGAGGCTGAGAACTTGACCGTGCTCTCCCACGGAGCAGGTGGCGGGTTTGAGTCGTGTCATGTGCCTTTGGGCTGGCAGCACAAGTCCGTCCCATGAAGAAGTCTCCTCATGTCGCACCCACCAGTGCCAGTGACGGTACACACCTGTGTCAGAGAGCCAGCGCTCACACAGACAACGTCTGCTGTTAGACAGCAGTACCCTGACATTTGCCCAGAGCAATGTTCACAGGGCAAGAAGACAGAGGACGGCCCTGGGCCTGGAGCAAGAGACAAAGAGCAGAGAACGAGAGCGGTGCTGTGGGGGAGAGCTTACAACCAGTGCCACGAAATGTGCACAGATGAATGAATGCACTTCAACTGCTTAACAGAAAATTAACTTGCTCTTTTAACTTTCATCCAAATCGCAACAACAAAAAAAAATAAAACCTGACATGGGGGCTGAGGGTGCAACACTGAAAAGAGTGGATAGATAATGAAGACTGCGTTGGAACAGACGGAGGAAAGAACTGTTTAAAAGGCATATAAAATCAGGGATTATTTGTATGTTAACAGTCCAGAATAAGAACTGCACAGCAAAGTGGACTGAGAGCAGGGGTGAGGGGGAAGGGAAGAAATTATGCAACATGAATATATATTTTTTTCTTTTTAAAAAGTGAACTCGTGGGAGTAGGGAAACATACAACCATGAATGAATGAAAATCCAACTTTTTTGTAAACTGTGGTTAGAATCAGAATTTTAAAAATGGAGGAACAAAGAGAAAGGAGAGGGGGGGAAAACACGTAAGAAACCCTACAGTACTGAAAGCAGCCATCTCAGTCCAGTAAGGAGCGTGGACCCCTTGGCCACTCGAAGGACGTCCACATCCCTTCTGTGTGAACAGTGGTCTCAGCACCAGTGACACGAGAGACGTGGTATCAAACTCTTACCAAGCTGGACACTCAGGCAAAGTTCCTGTCCTTGTCATTTCCTTTTATGCCTAAAAGAGTGAGTGGCACAGACCCACCTCTTGGGACAGGTGACAAAGCAACATCAAAGCCAAGTGCCCTTGGGCTCCTGCTCCTTCGTTCAGGTGTCACCCTATTCCAGGACCC